CGCTGGAGTCATGTGATACCCTGCAGGGTTGCGATATTCATTGATTCCAGGGCACATCTCCTACTCCCGATCTGGGAAGGTATGTTACACGGGGAATATGAAGCAAAAGAGTGTGTTTGGTCCCAAATGCATCCTCCGCGCCAGGCCGCCTTTCATTCGCTGCATGTCCTCGCCGCTTCATTCCAGCTCTAGTCCGGATTATCCTACATGGGTCTCCATGTCAGCAAGTGGTCTGTCTCGTTATAGAGATGGGGGCGAAGAATGGATACCTTTCAGAACCATCATTTAGCTTTTCTGGCAGCCGCACTTCTTGCACTGGTCCTTGTAACCGGACTCGACCAGGTAGGTGCCGTACGAGTCGCACTTCGAATGCGGCGTCAGGCAGTGGGAATCAGGGTTCTGGCCGCCGGTGCAGTGGATCGTGTACGTGGCCCGCGCGGCCACCTCGATGGGGCTCGCCTCGGCGGCGGCAACGGGGGTTGCGGCCACGAGAGAGGCCAGCATGGCAGTGCCGAAGGCAAGATAAGTGAAGTGCATCTTGATGGTGTTTGGTTGATTGAAGTGGACAGATAATTGATAGCAGTGAATAGTAGTGAATAGTGGTCGATGCTGTTGAATCTGGATGTCGGAACTACAAACATCGGCGAGTCTCTCTGCCTTTTATGCCTTCCCTGGGAGGCCATATTGCCGGTCTGAGGCTGTAGAATCAGCTGCCTGCTCATGAAGAAGTAAGACCGCTGCGTGATTCGGATAGTCTGACAGGGATGCCATCCCTGTTCGCAATTCCTCTGCCCAGAGCAAACGAAGTAAGCCCCGCCGCAGAGGCATTCTAAGCCCAAAATTGCACTAACAGCGGGCTGTGACTGGTGTATGTGCATAGCAGCCCCCATCTCAGCCCTGTTCGTGGAACAGTGATACTCGTGATGAGGTTGTGGAACCGTGAGACTTGGGATAAGCTTGTGTCACCTGGGCCTTCAGGCCTCCAGGCCAGAATCCGAATAGCGGGGTACCTTTTTTCATTTCCGTCGATCATTAACTGGGATCAATAAAGGTGCGCAACTAGGGCCGTAGATTGGTGGAAACATCCCCGCCTTCTGACGGCGCAGGCGGCCCCTTGGTATGCAGGGCAAATCTCACGTCAGAATCTGACATACTCCTCGCTTCTCCACATTCTTCGGCGACAGGTCCGCTGCCAGCCCGCGCGACATGTAGGCCCGACTCCGCGAGGGGTATGTACAGTGCCAGCTCGGCTTTGAAGGCGGCGGACAGCTTGTCTTTGCTCTGGCTCTGGCTCTGATCTGGGGGAGGCACGTAAGACGTGCCATCGCCCGGAGAGGCAAGGGGGTCGTATCCGTCTATGTGAGTAAGATGGTCAGGTATGTGTGCTGACATGAGATGATAGCAAGCGGGCAGGGAGGGGGGAATCCCGCAATACAGACACCGAAATGACCGAACAAGTCCTGGCTGAGATCAACGTCGGCGGTCATCGACGGCAGCACATTCTTGGAGATGCGCATCACATCCAGACTCACAGCCTTGTCGCTCGTGGGCCCGACGTGCGGGATCTGGTCGAGACATTCCACCCCATCCGTGCCCGGATTGAGCACATCGTACAGCAGCGTCACCGCAGGCCGATGCGGTAGATGCAGGGCACCCAGTGACGGCCAAGTGCGAGTCGAGGAGCGCAAGTGGTAGGCGATCGGCGTGAAACTCATCACCAAGCCCTCGGCACTGGTATTTCTAGATGAGGTGCGGTGGCCTTCATCTCCCAACCCAACAGAAGGACTCAAGTGTGACTGGGTCACTGCAACAGTCCACGGCCGGCCTGGATAGCCAAGTCTCCACTTATTATTGTGGCCTCCCCGCAGAGGATTGCCGTCCAGGAGGCGGTACCCATTGTGTGCGCTACCCACAAGCCCGCCGCTTTTTTGCGTGCGGAGGCCTTGACGACCGTGTGTGGCTCAACGAGCATGAGAACTTTAGCCAGCTGGTCGAGGTCCTCATCTTCGAGAGCTTTGTTGCCTACAGTTCGACCATCCCCAGCGTGGCCGCAACCCTTGGGTCCCGGGGCTGTTTTCTACGGGCCGTTTTCGCTATTTGCCCTGTTCGGGCTCGAGGCAATCTCACCGATGGCCGGCTACGCCATGCGGCTGTCCTGGGTGATGCTGTTCATGTTTTCCTGTGCTGTCAACCCGCACAGCGCCCGGGATGGCTTCTACCGCCCCTGGTGGGCCCGATCCACCTACTGAGTTGCCCTAGGCGACTGCGTATGCCGTGCAATGCCAGCAATCTCAACGTCTTCGACCCGGCGGTTGCACCTGTGGCCAGCACCGGACCGCGTATCCGACGATGATGGCTGTTTCGTATCCCCAGAACTGACGCTCTGGCGAGGAAACCAGATGAGCGTTGATATACATGCAGCCATTGTCGACATCAAACACAACTTCACATGGTGGTATTCCCGATATTACTTTGCTGCCTAGCATGACGCGGCGATAAGCGGTCATCACGGGGATAGGCCGGAGATACGGCCCGTTAAGCCCGGTCCTCATCCAGAACGAACCATTGATTTCAAGTCGACGCCTCTATTCAAGCGAAGTGCCAGTGCCGAGTCCTCACACTATTTCTCCTCCTAGATCGTGGCTGGGATAGGTGATGCGTGCGCAGTACAGGAACAGAAACAATAGCAAAGCGCAGCCCTCACAATGCACCCGCACCCGCACCTGCCTGACGAAGGCGTCCCGAGATCAACCGAAACTCAGCCGAATCCACCAAGCGAGACGACAAGACCCTGGATGGACCCTGAACTAGTCGCCCCACCCGTCCCATTCTACCCGTTGCAGACTGCAACGTAACCGGCCCGACCCGCTTCTTCCAGCATTGACATCGCGTCCGCGGACACGAGCCCTTCAGCCGTGCCAGTCTTGGGGGTAGATGCGCCATTGATGGCCTTGCCAGAGTCGAAGCGGGCCCTCCTGCAGCGATATGTAGCGACCTTCCACCGCAGTTACGTTCTCGGGGGCCCTGCCGCTGGCCCTCCGCCCCACGGCCCTGCAGCGATCGCACATCCACCACACCTGGATCGACTTCTTCCCGTGCCCGCGGATGTGCGACAGTCTCATCCGGGCCGGGAACGAGTGGGACGACGAGGAGCTCTGTGTCGATATCATGGGGTTTTGGGATAGCTCGTCTACGGATGCCCAGGGGTTGATCATCTGGGGGGAACCGTCGGATCCGGCCAACTGGGAGGTGTCCGAGGGGTTTACCCGCAAATGGGGCTGGGTCATCGAGGGCTGCGAGTCGGCGATGCGCGCGACGAATCGCTGGCGTGCCTTGCGGGGGGGGAGGAAGGCCGCTGTTCCGGATGGGGTAATCCGATGTGGATATGTGATGTAAGATGACTTATAAAATTCCCCTGAATTGAGCTTTGTATAGATCCCGTATCACAATGAATATATCCCAACACAATCGCAAATTCCCATTACACCATGTCGTGACTAGTTACCTCCAACTCCCCCCGATAATCCTGTAACGTCACCCCTCCACCGCCTGGTACTCCACCCACGTCTGCATCTTCGCCCGCACATGCTCCCCGTACACCACCGCCTCCCCCGTCCCATCCACCGACGAAACGAGACACTTCTCCCCGGGCTCAAAGAAAAAGGGCACGCTGATCCGACCAAGCGGAGCCCGAGTGGCTGGCGGAGCCCGCACCCGATGCATGGTGGCCACGAACCGTGCCCCCGAGACCTTGGCCATCAGGTCGCCGATGTTCACGACGAGGGACCCGGGGATGTACGGGGCGGGGATCCACTGTCCGGGCGAGTCGCGCACCTCCAGCCCGCCGGTGGGGTCCTGGTGCAGGAGCGTTAGGATGCCGCTGTCGGTGTGCGGCGTGCAGCTGAGCTTCACTTCGGGGGTGTCTGTGGGAGCCGAGTCTGGGCTGGGATCCGCGGGGTTTACGACCGGGTAGTGCAGGAGACGCAGCGTGCTCAGGGAGTCGACCAGGTAGGCGTCGAAGAAGTCGGCTGGTTGTCCGAGGGCGACGGCCGGGAGCGAGAGGAGCTGCGCGGCCAAGGTCTGCAGCTCGGTGTATAGCTGCTCCAGGCGCGGGCGAGGCGGGAACCCTTGTTCGGGCCAGACGTTGGGCTCGGAGAGATCGATCGTGGATGATGTGGAGGGGGCGGGGAGGATGGTCGGGGGCCCAATCTCGAAGCCCTCCTTCAGGTTGTCGGAGCCTTGGTCGGGTTGCGTGGGGAAGTATCTGTGGTTGGTTGTGAGCGGTCTGTTGGCTGTGTGTTTGGGGCGGGGATGGCGGACCCTCGGTAGACGTTGGGGTTGGTGGTCTGGAAGGACCGCTTGGCGAGGGTCATTTTGGCTGGCAGCGGGAGGACGAAGAACTCGCGCGCCAGGTGAAAGACCTCATCGTGGGAGAAGCTCAGCGGGGGGTTGGTCAGATAGGCGAAGCCGGTGGTGGTGAAGACCTGGGCCAGGTGCTGGCTCAGCTCGGGCAGTTGCTGCGGCGCGTGATGGCGGAGGGCCGCGACGTCGATGATGGGGAGGGAGGCAAAGGTGGTGGCCATGGTGGTCCTGGTCCATCCGGGTCGGAATCTGGGGAAGGGCCATGCTCCGACACTGTGGGGGGGGGAGGTTAAGTAGCACGAGTCCACGAGAACACGACATGCGGAGTGGGGTGGCAGCGGGGACTGCGATGAGGGCTCCCCAACCACGGGTCGACGTTGTGCTGCACGAGGAAGATCCAATGACGAAAGGGGAGGAGGCATCGCACACGACCACCAGAGCCCGGATGCAAGGAGTATAGCAAGCACATCGAGCAGCGGGGGGGCAGTTCTGAGACTGGGGTTGATCGCATTCTAGTGGAGTTGCCATCGCCAGATCCTAATATTCGTAGAAAACGAGGGATCATCTGGGTTAGATGTGGCCGGGGGGGGGTTGTGATCATGGGTAAGACGAAGTTGGGACCGAACCCCGCATAATCCGCTCGATTGGCCCAGTGGTTAAGGCCTCCGCTTTACATAATCAAGCATTGCCTGTTCCGGCAGAGTTGTGCGTTGTGAGCGCGGAAAATCCTCGGTTCGATCCCGAGATTGAGCATATGACCGGTGTGCAGTCACTGTAAGATTTTTTTGCTATTTATTCTCTGCCAGATAGATGGGCTTGCATCTTGCACCGACCGGTGTTTGCTTGTTCGTTTTCCTTCCAAGAACTCCACATAATCCGCAGGGTCGCGGGGTACCCAGCCACGGGCGGGTGGGTGCCTACAACACTGTGTCACTTTTATTAACACGAGTACACAGGTCATGTGCGCCTTGGAAAAAAGCGGACGCACCCTTGCCGGTCTTGGCAGTCACCAAGGCGCACCTAATCTTTTAAATACTGTTACCTTCCCCCTGAAATTCATTTTCAATTTCCTTCCCTAAAA